TTGTTGAAGAGGAAGTAAAGGGTGATGGTAGATTAAATGCAGAAGCTGGCTCAAAAAAACAAAAGGAGGAGAACAAAGAAAAAGGGTCCAAATAGAAAGAAAGAGGGGAAAGAGAAGCTAGAGGAGCCTAGATCTAAAGGAGCTGGTGTAAAAAAAGCAGAGAAAGAAAAAATTAAGTGAGGTGGATTATGATAGAGGGAATGTTGAAAAAAAGGAGAAGAAGAAGCGGTGAGTGGTTTGTTTGGTTAAAGGGTATTTTGTCGCGGTCTCCACGAAATTGATTAGCTGGAATGTAAGAGGGTTAGGAAGCTCAAGAAAAAGAGGAGTGATTAGGGATCTGTTGAGAAGAGAAAAACCAGATATTGTGTTGATTCAAGAATCTAAGTTGTCTGAGTTAGATAGGAATTGGGTAAGAAGTATCTGGTCAGTGAGAGACATAAGTTGGCATATGCACAATCTTGGGAAGCTTCAGGGGAATTATAACTTTGTGGAAAAATGCAGAGATGGAGTGTTCTGAGGAGTTAATTGGGAAGTATTCAGTGTCCATCAAGTTGAAGAGGAGGATGGATGACTGGGAATGGGTTTTAACTAATGTGTATGGAGCCACCTCTTATAAGGAAAGGGAGGGACTTTGGGAGGAGTTAGCAGCAGTGAGAGGTCTATGGGAGGGCCCCTGGTGTTTGGGAGGAGATTTTAATGTCATAAGATTTTTGAGTGAATCAAACAACCCAAATCACCGGGTTACAATGAGTATGAGGAAGTTTAACCTCTTCATAGAGACCTTTGAGTTGCAGGATTTACCTATTTAGAGGGCAAATTATACTTGGTCAAATTTTCAAGAGGTTCCCACTTGCTGTAAGTTATACTTGGTCAAATTATACTTGGGCAAATTATACTTCTCAGTTGAAGACATTTATAGGAATTGGGAAGTGGTAGCTTCTACAACTTCCATGAAACCTATTGTGCAGGAATTGCGGTCCCCACCAACACAAGAAAGAGTGAAATTGAACTTTGATGGGAGTTCAAGAGGTAACCCGGGCCCTTCAGGTATAGGAAGAGTATTCAGAGATGAAAATGGCAAAATTGTGGCTTTGTTTTCAGGACCAATAGGAGTGGGGGACTCATTGAGAGCGGAGGTGATGGCCTTGCTTCAAGGTGTAAGATATGCAAAACAATTGGGGTTACACCAAATCGAGATAGAGGGAGACTCTAAATTGTTGATTGAGTGGTTGCAATCTAGTAAGTTGGGAGCCTGGATTTATAGACAGCCCATAAGGGAAATCCTCAACATAACAAGGGAGATCGATGCATGCTTCAAATGGACAAGGAGAGCAGCTAGTGGTTTAGCTGACACGTTGGCTAAACAAGGGACCGTGAGGGAGAGAATGTTCTGGGCAGTTTTGTAAGAAAGATTACTGGGGGCTCAACACCTACTTGGGAGTTGACAGCTGTACTTAAATCTGGAAAGTCATTCTTAAGTTATATTAATGAAGTTACCATTTCCAATAAAAAAAAGAATGGAATAGGTAAGTTTGACCAAGCCCCAAGAACACTTTGGCTGTCACTTCTTCTATTTCTTGATTGAAACTCAATAAAATAGATTCCAGAAGTCAGCATGTGATTAATTAAAGCTTCTTAAGAGGTTGGTGATTACATTTTCCTCATTTCTTATTATTTTCTTGGATTGGAACCTCCAGAAAGCTACTCGGTCTGAACAGGGACAGAAGCTAAGCCCTTTGTTTCCTTGGGAACAGGTTAAGGTCTGTGTTGACTGAATGGCATAAGGGGAGTTTAACCCCTCTTTGTGGGTCTCAAGATGCAGAACTGTGTGCATATGGAACCATTGTAGGTTGTTGAGGTTTTAGACAAATTGTGTAGTCTATAGTGGTAGTTTTTTATTATTTATTGTTTAGATAGGAAGCAGGGACCACATCACTCTTGTTGGGTCCTTTTTGAGCAGTTATTTTAATTGTTTTATACTGTTTTATGTGTTAGCCACCCTATAAGGGCATATTTGTCTTTGTACTCTTTATTATTTCAGACTATAAATAATAGTGAAGAGGGTGGCCAGCATTATTACTCTCTTTTCTCTCTCAAATCTCTTCCCTTCCTTTTCTTCTTTTTTCTCTTCTTCAAGAAATATTCTTTTCTCTTACATATTTTTTATTTCAGCACCTTTCTACTTGGTATCAGAACAAGGTTAGGGTTTCTTGAAGCTTTTTCATGCAGTCCTAGATCAATTGATTGCATGAGGAGATAAAGAGCTGATCGATCTACTTCAGATTGCCTGGTTCTTGGATATTTTGGTGTGATCTAGTCACCAGGAGGGTGATCTATGTTTTGGCATCAAAATCAGGAAGAACTAGAGTGTGGGGAAGAGTCCTAGTCAAGTTGGACTCTTTAATTTTGATTTGATCTTGGGCGCTCAGGTATTGTTGGACTTCTCTAGGTATTCTATAGGGGGTGGTTAGGTTTCTGGAATTTTTCGGGCCTTCTGAAGTGGCCGATTAACTTTTCTCTCTGGTGAGAGAGAGTGAGAGGAGAGAGATTTCTCTCCGAACACGGTTTTCTTCTTCCGGAAAGGTTTGTTACATTTGTGTGTGAGATCAATTTGATCTTCCAAGATGGCCATTGGTGCTCGTGGGAAACTAGGGTACATTACTGGGAGGAGAAGAAACCTGATACAGATCCCTCCCGGTGGGTACAGGAGAATTACATGGTGATGACCTGACTGTGTAACTCTATGTTACCTCACATTGGTAAAAATTTTTTGTGGGCTAATACTGCAAAGGAGATTTGGGATGGAGTGACTAAAACCTATTCCCAGAAACAAAATGTAGATAGAGCCTATCAGTTAAGGAATTAGGTGAGTAGTACAAAACAGAGAGATAGACCTCTTGCCACCTATTTCTCCATGCTGAAAACCCTTTGGTAGGAGATTGACCACTTAGAAACTGTGGTTTGGGAGAGTATGAAGGATGCAACAACCTATCAGGGGATGTTAGAAAAGAATAGGGTTTTTGAGTTCTTGGCTGGGCTGAACCCTGAAT